AATTTACCTAATAAAGAATGTTACGCGTTACTTTATTAGCACACACACAACTACTGTATTTTTGTCCACCCTGTACCAATTGGAATCAACATGTGATACATTTTTGGAATCAGCTCAGCTAGAGTAATCCGAAAATTGAGACAAAATGGGGGTGTTCCATTTAAAAAAAATGACGGTGACGTCATTACTCGAACGTAATTCACCCTGTATATTAGATTATTATTTTAAAATACGGTAAATTAACATAAAAATCGACGTGTTTCAGGATTATTTCTTAAAATGACCTGTTTAGCTAAAAATGAATCTGTTCCATACTTTACGGACACAGTGTATATAAAAATGGATGTTTGTTGGTTGGTTGGTTGGTTGGTAAGTGATAAACTTCTACATCGCTCAATCGATCGTGATGAAACTTTACATGTATAGGTAATTTTTCATAGAGAAGGTTTTTAGGCTATCAATTTTTCTGTAACTCGCCACTACATGGCTCTGTAGAACAATTTTTTGAAAGCACTGTTCTATAACGCTGCGCATGCCTAAGTTCTTTGATTCTGATTCTGTCAAAACATTGGAACAGCAGCGATACAGCAACATAGTACTAGTAGGTATAATATAAAAACGGATGTTTGTTGGTTGGTTGGTTGATTGGTAAGTGATAAACTTCTACATCGCTCAATCGATCGTGATGAACCTTGACATGTATAAGTTATTTTTCATAGAGAAGGTTTTTAGGCAATCAATTTTTCTGTAACTCGCCACTAGATGGCGCTGAAAAACAATTTTTTGAAAGCACTGTTCTATAACGCTGCGCACGCCTAAGTTCGTTGATTCTGATTTTCGATTCTGTCAAAACATTGGAACAAATCATGAAATTATGAAAAAACGAAAATTAATTGGCGCTTCCGGGCGACTTCATTGATTCCAGTGGCACATTTGCTTTTTCGGCTGCAGGAAAACCCGGAAAAACATGCAGAACCACATTATCTGAATATTTTGATCTACCTAATTTTGTTGATACGCCCATTTTCTACAAGGTACACTGTATATGAAAGAATATTTTAAAATGGTCCAATGTATTGCTTTTTGAAATTTCCATAAAAAACACCTCAAACTTCTAATGACATTTTTATAGCAAAAGGTGAGAGGAATGGTCATGAGGAGATGTCCACAGGAGGAGTTTCATCACTCCTTCTTCGGAACATAGTTCTGGATACCCTGATTAGGCATCTCAACAATAATGGATTCTACATAATTGCATATGCAGATGACATAGTTATCTTGCAGACCGGCAAATTTGTGAACACACTGTGCGATAGAGCGCAGTGTGTTCACATGGTGTGAGGAACATGGTGTGAGGAACACTCAATGTCGATCAATCCCAAGAAGACTGAGATGGTCCTTTCCACCAGGAAAAGAAGTTTATCAAAAGCAAACTAAACTTATCTGAAGATTGAAATACCTACCTTGGTACTATCCTCGACAGAAAGCTAACAGGGAACTCTCACCTATAGAGTAGAGCAAAAAGAGCATATGTGGCATATGCAGTAATAAGTCCTATGTTAACGTACGGAGCCATTACATGGGGACCGAAAGTACTACAAGCAACAGCCATCCAAAAATTATATCAAATACAGCGATTGGCTAGTTTAAACATCACAGAAGCCATGAGAACAACACAAACTGCGGCAATGGAATTAATTACTGGTCTGACTCCTCTGCACCTGTACATTAAGGAGTTTGCGTTAATGGCCATGTTGCGACCGGCTGGTGTAAACCTCGAAGTAGGAATGGGTCAATTGAGGCTAAGTAAACCCAACAAAATACAAATAAAACAGAAACAGAGTTAGATGCTACAAATGCAATACGTATATATACAGATGGCTCAAAAACCAAAGAAGG